TTTGGGGTGGGGGGGTGGGGGGGGAGCCTCCCCTCTCCGTTCTGCCGGGTCATTGCTGCGTTAGTCCAAGATCCCCTTTTAGCCAGGGCAAAGGGGCAGCTGGATGTTTTCGCTGACAGGAAACATCAACCAAAAGGAAGGAGGAGGTGGTGGTGGTGGGGCCGGGGCGCGTGAGGGAAACTGCTCGTTTTCCGTCACGGAAAGGTCTAGGCGCTTCGACGGACAGCGCGTTGGCGCTCGATGCTTGGAAATTTTAGGGGGAGAAAAGATGCCGACCCACGCTGCTGGCGTACCAAAAGGCGCTGGAGTGAAACGTGGTGGTTCTGCCTCTGTTAGTCCCACGTTAAGCCGAAAGGATGTATGTGGGGAAGGTTATATCTTTGGGGCTTTAGGAAGGCTGGATGGACCTGGGTCCTGCACAGTCCCTGTGCTTTTTACTCAGCATAACCGTTGTTTCCACCCTTGCTTGGGTGTGACCCTAACTTGCTCCTCTCTAAAGATGTTTATTTTAATCAGACCTGTTTAAAAACCTTTCCTAACGTTGCGGCTGCACCGCTGAGAGCGGAAAGGCCTGAAGACCGTGTTTGAAGGCCCTCGATGGAAAAAGGCGCTTAAAGGAAGGCCGTGGCTGGAGGAGAAGGTGGCCGGGGGACCGTGCGGAGGAGGTGGATGAGAAGAGCTACGCAGCCGCTGTTAGGAGAGGGTGTTTGGAAAGTGATGCCATTCTCTGCTGCTTGCTCTTTTCTTCTTCTTACGCTTTTAGTAGACAATGGAGCCGGACACGACAGTGAACGAGCATTTTAAAAGCCAGTTTAAGGCCCTCCAGGAACACCAGCAAAGGAGGCTGCAAAATCTGATGGAGAGGAAGAAGGGAAAGCAGAACAGTCGGAAGGGTAATAGTGGCAAAGCAGAGGAGACTTTCGGAAGCCAGAATGACCTAAATCTCTTTGAAGTGGGCCAGCCCGAAAATGACGACGTCCGCAAAAGGTAAAGGTGTAGCGGCACTGTTCCTTCAGGAAGTCAAAGAAATACGTTTTGCTTCTGATCTTAGGAAACTCATATTAACTTTACAGAGTACTCAATGTCTGCCTTTGTATACTGGACTTTCGTTGTGATAAGAGAAGTCTCACTGTCTTTAATATCCTCAGAGCATTGTCATGTGCTCTTTCTTATCAATGTTTCACTAGTGAGCAAGTGAAAGAGTCTAAGGGGGATGTGCCGGGGCAGCTAGGTACCACCTGAACAAGTCCTGTCACTCAGGATCACGAACATCTGCTGAACTGCCTAGCTTTGTAAATCGTTCCCTATCACGGATACGCTTCCATTGGCAGGTCTGTTCAAAGCATCACACAGCTAACGAGTGTGAGCCAAAGCCCTGTAGCCCGGAAAAGTGTTTCCCTGCCTGTCTTTGCAACGTGACCTGATTTAGCAGGTCAAAAGACAGCCGGCTACGTAGGAGGGTCTGATAGATAGGGTTGCCTGGTGATTAAGATATTTAACAGGGTTATGCAAGTAAGGTTTTAAATCTCACTGGGGACAGGGCTTTGGATGTCATCTCCCCCACTGCGGGGAGTATCTTAACTATGAGGACACTGGGTATTCTGGAGTGGATCTCCCTCTTAATCTCACTTTTGGAGTTGTGTGCATAATTCAGCTTCCTAGAGCAGACATTTGAACCCACATCTCAGATCATTCATCTACCTCCTCGGAAGCAGTCAGCCCCTCTCTCTGACCCAGTTAATAAATATTTATACAAACTAGAACATATTGAAGACATTGCAAGGGCGTCTGCAATCGTTGCAGTGTTGGGCAGGGTTTGCTCCTTTTCAGTAGTGAAGCCGGCTTAAAAAATTCCTCCTGCTGCTTCCCATTCCACCTTTCTGCAATGGTGCTGATACAGCTGTTGCAGGGTTGTACTGGAAACTGGATTCACTTTCTGAGGCAAAGGTACTTTTAGCTCAATTCATTTCAGTGATCCACTTTACAGCTTTAGCCCCACGAACTGTTTTATTGGCACCACGATGGGGTGGTGAACTGTGACTCAGGAGCAGGAAGAAGGGGTTGGCATCTCTGCCAAAAACCAGCAGGAAAGAATAGGTAAAAAAACATGAGGTGAAAAACCAGAGTGGGGAAGGGCACCTCAACCAAGGTTTATTGCTGTAGGCCCTAAACACTGATCTTCCCTCTATGTTACTAGAGGCAACTCCCTGCTCGGCTTGTTTCTGAAGATTGCTTCCTTAAATGTCTAATAGTCTCCATGCACTGTGAGGAAAAGCTGAGCGCTTAAGCTGCAGTGGAGCTTCAGCAATAAGGCAGGGAACCCAGGAGTTAATCACTGCAATGTTCAGGTACCTCTGGGAATCGGGTGCTCATCCCACAAAGGAAGTCTGTGCGGAAACAGAGCGCTAAGTTTCTAGAAAGAAACTAATGCTTTTAGCCTTGCACCGTGCTTTCTCTTCACAGACAGGTCCCCCCACCATGGCTGATTGGCCAGTGCATGCTTCAATCGGACCTCTACCAGCTGTCCTGCTCCCTTCAGAATTATTCCTGATAGTACATACAGATTACTATGGAGATCTGAGTTTGTTCTTGGGTTTTTTTTTTTTTTTTTAAAATGGATCCCTGCATGTGAGATGTGGATTTGTCTGGTGGGAGAGAGGGGTTTCAGCACTCCCATAGCACCTGCTGGTGCCATGTGCATGCTCTGAGGTGCAGAATACAGGAGAGTCCCAGCAGTTCTGGGAGCGCTTCTCTCCCTGTTGGCCATTTGGTAGTTCAGATCTGAGAAAGTCAAGAGCTATTACTTTCATTTTCAATGGGATTTAGTGTAAAAAAAGTTCCCATTTGACATGGCAGTAACAGATTGCTGATTCATCTGGATCATCCTTTGCCTGTGGCATCCTTTACCCACTTGTGAAATAGCTGCATTTGGCAAAAGGGTGGTATGAGTGTCTCAAATCCAGGCAGACTCAACTGCTTCTGGAAGGGATTCACTGTTAGGTACTGATGCTATTTTACAGTATTCCCATGACAACAAGTTAGAAACGTGTTCCAGAATAACAGGACTCCATATGGTTTGCAGTGACAGTGATTTCAGCATGTCAAGTTTGTTTATAAAAGCATTTTGAAAACCTTCTCCTCTCAGAAGTCTCCCTTCTTCTGAGCTTGGGGAGCCCATTTTTCCTTCCTTCCTTCCGTCCTACTCCCAAATTTTGTTTAGGCAAGTGGTTAGCTGACCTTTCTGTCCTGTTTTGTCCTTTCTGTAACTGTCCTCCCTGGTGGTTTGGTGCCCCTCGAGATTAAATGATTCTCTCCATCACATGAAGAATCGAATCTGTGGCAGTACCTGGGAAACGTACTTGCCACAATTTTGGCCATAGGCCTTGCTTCATAGGTTTCCCTGGCTTTGTTTCCTTGAACAAGAGTAAAAAAGATTAGCTTTCTACAGCCTGTTTCTTCTGGCTGGCTTTCCACAGCTGGGCCACTTGGGTGGAACCAGCTCCCTCCTTCATGCCTTTGTAGAGTTAGTAGGTGATACGATGTGATGGAGAGGGAACTCCAGCTATATACACAGTTAGGATTTCCATCCATCCTAATAAAAGTAATGTACATCAAGTTTTGGAAGCCAGCTCTGAGGAAGACATGATCAGATGTGTTAAGAACTTAGAATTTTTTGTCGTTAATTCCATAACTATTGAAAATGATTTTACGCATATGATAGCGTCCTAATCAAATCTGAACGGTTTTGTTGCCCACTTCTATGAGTGGTACTCAGAGGTGTAACTTAGTTTTGTCTTTTCTCTGCTCAGATTGCTGCTTTCTTTGGTCCTCCTCTTTGTAAACAGCTGCCTTTGATCTCCCTTTGATTTGAGGCTTTGAAACAGAAATGCATTGCTTAAGTATGGATTGTGAAGTGTCCTGTAAATTGACTGTGCTAGCTGTTTTTTCTAGCAGTGCTTTAAGGGGTCATTTATTCTGACATGCACATACGGAGTGTGCATTTAAACTTGCTTTTTGAATAGAAAAGATTTAGGTGGCTAGTGAGACAGCTAACCTAGTTGGCTGTGGGTTATGTTTATACCCACAGGTATATACTGTAACAACTCCGGACTTTAGTCAGAGCTCTGTGATTATCCAACTTATCTGCTTCCTCCTTCGTTTGTAGGCCGGAGCAATCCAGTCTGTAGGTGAAGGGGATGGGACGCTGTTCTGGATTAAGTCACCAAAATGTAGATATCCAAGCTGCTAGCATAGATGATGAAAGTCCAGGGCTCAGTTCAGTTGCCTGACGTAGGTTACCAGTGACATCGAGATGCCATGGGTTTCAGGAGTGTCTGCGTGAAAATGACAGCTGATCTGCATCCTTCAGGAGCAGCTGGAGGCTGGGCAGGCAGCTGACATGTCTCTGGACACCTGTGTGTGGGACACCTATGTGAGCTGAGTCCATCATCAATGGACTTAGTGGTTTTTAGAGAGCGTTTCAGGTCA